CCTAACATTGTCATTTTATATATATTTAAAAAAGGGTTCATTTTTTTTGAGCTTTTAAAACACATAATGTATATATTTATATATGTACATTATGTTCCAAAGGTTGTCATAGCGAAAGGTGATAGTGGGGACAAGCAACTACTGTCTGTAAAATGCTTCCATGGCATGCATCTCAAATAGCCTTTGAGAACAAAATCCAACTCCAAGCCAGAGAATGGGTGAAGACAGACAACTGGTGCCTCATAACCAACTGTTTCAGGTAGATGGAACTCAACAGCCCAGGAAAGCAGACCATCTTGGGGAAGGTAAACCCTGATTTTAAAACCTCTGCTGCCTTGTGGTCATATCCCAAATACAGAAAAAGCCATGGAAGTAAATCCAGACAGGAAACCTGGAGTAGAGCCTTGAAGGCGGTTGACTGTCAACACTGAAAACTTTTCCAGCAACTGGAGCCAAGCAGATCACAAATGCAATGCCCTGTATTCCTTTAGATCCTGTCGGTGGGGCTGATGGGGGAGGGGTGCATGTAGTCTGGGCAACATATAGCCTCCATATACCATCAGCTGTTTAAGCAAAGGAAAATTCTGAATTCAAGCCCCCTGCTGACTTGTAGGTTTTGCCTCTTTAAATTTTGAGAGGAGGGATGGGGTAATCCCAACCTCTTTATTGCAAAAAGGAACCAGTCAGCCATTGCCCTATTCTGCCTTGAATGTCACCATGAACCACAATTATGGGATGGAGAGGAGTGGTGACCATTTGATATCTGAATAGATGAATGAACGAATAGAAGCGTGTGTACTGTCATTCACCGCTCGATTGCAGATTGTCTTGATGCGCCTGGCTGTTTTTCATTTGCTCGAACGCTGCAGGTTGCAGACGGATTTGAAAGTGTCGGCTGATGTCGAACCAACATGGTGTCTTTTTTTAAATGTCTATAAGCCTTTCACATTCGGTCGTAAGATCTTTTATGTGACGTCTTTATCCGCTTCCTGTTTGGATAATAGTCGTGTAGAGATTGAAGGCTAGCGATAAAGATGAGACATTTAAATTGATCTTCAGTGTCAGAAGCTGAAATTTCACACATTTGAGATTAGCATATTCTGCGAAAGTTACGTCATCGTTTGGCCCGCTTTTCGATAATTCTAAACAGCTGTAACAGATGACAAACGGTGGCTTGATATCCGAAAATTTCCGTGTGCTGGCCAACAGTTTATGTAAAAATTAAATCCGAAATCTGTTTTGATCAAATGAAAAAAAAAATTCGTTAGTTTGAAATTGGCGTGTACTCTGTTATGACCTCGTCGCCATGTTATTCGAGAAGTTCCGACGAACTCTCTGATCGTGGCGATTCTAAAATCGCTAAGGAGAGTTGCTCCCACTTAATTATACAGGATGTCCAAAAAGTTTATGTGAATTTTTTTTAAAATTTTAAAGCGAAAGTGCACACGAACTTTATAAACACCCTGTGTATATATATATATATATATATATATATATATATATATATATATACTAGAAGCATGACCCGGCGTTGCCCGTGCTTGATTCAAAAATCGTACGACTCATACAGCAATCGCTATCACTTGACTTAAAATATCTTTTGCCCTTCCTTGCCTTTAAAGGAGTGTCTTTTGACGTGCTGATGTTGCTACATGCCTTACTTCTTGCCTATCTCACACTGTAATTTTTTTCTAAGCTCTATACTAAACATTAAATCTGTTACCAAAAAAGAACTAAACAAAATGAACAAAAAACGATCAGCTCTAAAAAAGGACTCGTAACTGGAAAAACCGAATAAAAAAAGAATGTTAACAACAAATACTTTTTCACACCCAACGCAGTTCAGCAAAATCAGAATCAACGTTGAGTTTAAACAAGCGAATGAGCCAATTGGAGTAAAGTGCCATGCAGATTTAAATTTTTCCCACTTGTGACGAATGCAGCTATCGATTTTTTTTCATGCTAGCATGCTAGATAACATTCGTGTCAGTCAGCTGTTGGCTCTCACGCTGGCAAACTACATGAAAACTGCCGTAGAAGCACGAAAAAATCGATTATTTCCACTATCGATGGAAGTTGGGAAATGCAAAGTCGGTGTTGGCCTTCCCGCTAACTTGGAGCATGTGCATGTAAATTTTGGTGCACATCCGTCGAAAATTCCGGCCGTGCATTCGTTACACACACACACACATCTGACTTATATATATATATATATATATATATATATATATATATATATATATATATATATTTTTTATGGCTAACCCGAATATTTTTTTCTTTCTTTTAGTTTCCTAAATGTCCTATCTTTGCTTCCCTAAATATTATTTCTTCCTTTTTTTTAATTTTCTTTATTTCTTTCTTTCATATTTTGAATTCTGCATTAAACAACCCATATAGATGCTGAGATGCTAAACTAAATCTGCTATCGAGTAAATACGATATCCGCGTTTTAAAATAGGGATTTAAAACTTGGCGTAATGAGATCTGAGATATTTTTATGCGTCTCATCCGTAGTTTTATTCCAGTTGCAACAACAGAATTATAACAATTTCAATCACCAGTCTTTTTGTTTTTCCTTCTCGGCTGTTTATCGAAAACACCAGGAGTTTCATTTTTATGACGTCACTTTCTTTATCTTTCTTTCGTTCTTAAATATTCTTTTCTTCCATAAATTTTCTTTTTTTTACATTTTCTTTCTTTCTTTCTTTCTTTCTTTCTTTTTTTTTTTATTACCCCTCTTTTCTTCTTTCCTTCTGATTACCGTTTTTTCTTTCTTTCTTTCTTTTTTATTACCTATCTCCCCTTCTTCCTTTCTTCTCATTACCTCTCTTTCTATCTTTTGTTTTATTGCGTACTTCCCTTCTTTTTTCTGCTTATTACCTTTCTTACCTTCTTTTTATTATCTCGCTTTCCTCATATATTACGTCTTTTTCTTTATTTCTTTCATTCTTTCTTTCTTTTGTCATTAATATTCATTCTTTTCTTCCGTGAATTTTCTTTTTTTTATTACATATTCTTTCTTTCTTTTTCTTACATCTTTCTTTCTTCTTATTACCTCTCTTTCATCTTTCTTCTTATTCCCTTTCTTTCTTTATTTCTTTTTATTACCTCTCTTTCCTTCTTCCTTCTTCGCTTTACCTATCTTTCTTTCTTTCATAGAGCCCGGGGATGTAACAGTAAGAGGTAGATCAAGTATCGACCATCATAAAGACTGAAAAATAAAATTAACAAAGATTATTGTTTAAGGTTGACGGGCATGCATGTCTTAATTAGTTATTTTTTTGGTGGGGTGGGGGGGTTACGAATTGGTCAAACCCAAACATTGTTTTCAATCGTTATGGATCTACCGATTGAATAGAATTTTCTTATAAACAATTGTCTTGTAAATGGAATTTTTAAAGCATTCTGAATGTAAAAATAAAGAAAAAAGTGAGCAAGACAATAAGAAACACTACCTGCCAAAAAAAAAAGTGAAGTTTTGTTGAAATCGGTTGAAAAATGTACGAAATCCGATCCCATATATAAACGAACACACACACACACACACAAACAAACAATCAACCTGGGTTTTATAATAAGTATAACTCGATATGAGTTGTCCCCCTTTCATTCTCGTGATATCTCTTAATCGTGTTTTCAAATTGATTTTGTGCAAAAACAATTGTTTTTTTCCGATTTTTGGCGCTGTCAGAACCACCGCAAGGTAATTTTACGTTGTCCTGTGAAGTTTTGTTGAAATCGGTTGAAAAATGTAGGAAATCCGATCCAATATATAAACGTACAGACACACACACACACACAATCTGCGTTTTACAATAAGTAAGATTTTTATTTTTTTCTTATTACCTTTCTTTTTTTCTTTCTTTCTTTCTTTCTTTCTATAACCTTTAATTACCTCACTTTCTTTCTTTATTTTTCTTACTTTTCTTTCCCCTTGGATTCCTTTCTCTTCTATTCAATCTTTTTGTCCTTTTCGCTCATTTCCTCTTAGTCTACATTCTTTTCCTAACGTTCTCATTTATTTCATTTTTCATTTCTCTGCCTCGTTCTTACCCTTCCTTCGTCTCAAATTATTTCCCACACTTTTTCAAACATTTCCCACCCATTTCATTCTTTAATGATCTCCTTACTCCTTCCCGTACTTCCTTCCTTCATCACTTTTGCCAATCATAACCCTCAAAACTGTTAACATTGCTGACACAGTAATAAAAAGAATTGATCGGCGGAGCCAATCAATTTTAGCAACATCTGGCTCGGATGTGGCGTGACGAAGACTGCCTATTGCAGACCGTTGTTATAAAAGACGATGAGAGAAATAGATGGTTGAACGCTGGAATAGAAAGGGATCCAATCTTTTCGTTGTCATGTTGAAATGTGTCTTAGATGTGAAAGAAAGTCTTTGTAATACTATATTCAAAGAATTGGCAGCGTTTTTCGTGCTGTCACGTGTACTAAGTAAGTTTGGATATTTTAAATCTGAATCTATGTGCAAAAGAATCTATTCCTGTCAATTTTGATTGATTATTCATTTTCTACGGCTGATCAAACCATTTCAAGTTATTTAAAGCCAGAAAATAATTTCAGATTTTAAGATTTTTTTTTTTGAATGTAGAGACTTTCTGAATATCGCTATTCTCTCGATGTAAGATTTTTTAGATGATGAATATTTATAGAATGAATAAGATTTGACCCAAAAGTTGAAGCTCTGAAGATGGTAATCTGTTCAACAAAGTAACAATTCTGATTGACTGATTCGTTTTTTTACGGCTTATCAACCCTTTGCAGGTTATTTAATTTGTAAGATTTTTTTTTTAGATAATATTGATTCATTGACACAAGTCTTACTAATTAACCCATAGCCGAGGGAGAAGTAGTGGATTCACACCTTTTCCGAGGGTATTTTCGCGTATGGGAATATCACGAAACCAACTAGGAACTCGGCTCTCTGATTAACAATACCGAGCCATTACTCATTACACCACCCTTCACATCCAAACTTACAGTCCGTGGTATTCCAAAGTGGTCACCTATCTAGGTGCTGACCAAACTTGACGTTGCTTAACTTCGGTGGTCGCATGGGGACCGGTGTTTGAACGTGACATGGTGGTAAGCCCTAAGCTCTTCAACTATAGACCAAACCGTTGTTTACATTGAACAATCTCATTCAGTGTAACCTCCCACTTGAGTGGCTCTTGGGTCATGTGGGAATAGCGTTTATAAAGCTGAAAATCTTAGGTTAAAGGTCAGCTAATAAAAACATGTCAGGAAAGAAAATTATGAATCAATATTTGTGCGCGCGCGCGTGTGTGTGTGTGTGCATTGGTGTTTATGTACGCTTAACTTGCTCAGGCTAGTAATAATGGGGTCTGGAATTTAGAACAGTAGTGTGTGCTCTCCACTAATTTACAACTGCTTATGGTCATATCACATTGAAACCCTGATTCTCACCAAAGTCAAACAACATTCTCGGGATGAGAAATCGGAAAGCCGACATAGAGATATAAGTCTTACTAATTAATCCATAGATGTGGGGAGAACAGGTGGATCCATACCTTTTCCCAGGGATATTTGTGCGTAAGTCAATGTAACGAACCCAAATGAAATTGGAACCCGGCCCTCTGATTAACAATTTCGAGCCATAATCCATTATAGACACTGTACATCCAAGCTTACAGCACTTAGTATTCAGAAGCGATCACCCATCATTGCTCGCTGCTGTTTAAGGAAATGTTTGACACCACCTACAAATCCAAGCATACAGGACTTGGTATTCCCAAGGGGTCACCCATCATGGTAATGACCAGGCAAAACGTTGCTTAACTTTGTTATGGCGTTATTAAGGAAATGTTTGACACCATCTACAAATCCAAACTTACAGCACATGATATTCCCAAGCGATCACCCATCATGGTACTGACCAGGCAAGACGTAGCTTAACTTTGTTATGACGTTATCAAAGAAATGTTTGATACCACCTGCAAATCGAATCTTACAGCACTTGGTGTTCCTAAGCTGTTACACATCATGGTACTGACCAGGCAAGACGTTGCTTAACTTTGTTATGACGTTATTAAAGAAATATTTGACACCACCTGCAAACCAACCTTACATCACATGATATTCCCAAGTGGCTACCCATGATTGTGCTGAGCCGGCAAGACGTTGCTTAACTTTGTTATGACGTTATTAAGGAAATGCTTGACACCACCTGCAAACCAAGCTTACATCACATGGTATTCCCAAGCAGTTACCCATCATGGTACTGAGCAGGCAAGACGTTGCTTAATATTGTTATGACGTTATTAAGGAAATGTTTGACACTACCTGCAAATCGAAGCTTTCAGCACTTGGGATTTTCAAGTGGTTACCCATCTTGGTACTTACCAGGCAAGACGTAGCTTAACTTTGTTATGACGTTATTATGGAAATGTTTGACACTACCTACAAATCGAAGCTTACAGCCCTTGGTATTTCAAAGCGGTTACCCATCTTGGTACTGACCAGGCTCGCTCACCGAATCACTGAAATGAAAAGGTAAGGTGAATGGTTCAAATGAGAATTGGGTGGCTCCAATTTAGATATGGCAGCAATTCTCCAGTTTCAGTAAACGGAGCATAGCTGAAAGCGTTAGGTATTTCTCGTGCGGCGTATAAAACCGACCATTTCTCCGGTATCGATGGAGATGGACCGTATATACGAGTTCCATTTGAGGGTCTGGAAGTAGCTTGAGTCGCAAAAGACGTTCTAGACATGGAGCCTCATTGAATGTATTTTAGTCGCGAATTCTTTATCTTAGCTTTATTGAATCTCAATACATTGCTTACAGACTTTTGTTTCACTGCATCGCACTGTTTAACTTTCTAGTAAATGCCGTCATTTTTTCCGGCACAGGTCTAGTAGAATATATATATATATATATATATATATATATATTCATGAATTATTCACACAAAAAACAAAAGCAAAGGTTATGAACTATATATCGTAATTTAAATAACTGATCCAAGTGCGACTTTTGGATAATAAGTGCGACATTACTGTAATTATTGAACAATATAGTTCATGCCACTTTGACAGAAAATTTACCAGTAAAAAAAATTCGTTCATCACCATATTTATATGAACGCACAACCTTTAAAAATTTAAAATCAAACTCAGCGTTGCTACTGGCGCGCTCCAAAAACAATAACTCATTTTCAATAGCATTTTCGGATACAACAATACATATATTTTCGTTGTCCTCTTATTACTAAGAGAAAAAACAAGAACAACATCTATTCTATACCTGAAGATGTCTGTAGGAACAGACGAAAGCTTGTAGTAAAAATAAGAACTAATACGGCAGAATTTTATGGAAACAAGGATCAATTCATTCATAACGGATTCGGAGGTTTTTGTATATTATTTGAATTGTTTGCGATGATGGATTTCTCGCCAATTAAATCATTAACCTTTGCTTTTGTTTTTGTGAATAATTCATGAATTTGTAAATTGATTGCACGTTTATCGTAATATATATATATATATATATATATATATATATATATATATATATATATATATATATATTTTAATTTGCTTCTCAGTGCGCCTCTCCAGAGTGAAGAGAAGCTGAAGAGTCTGATCAATACGTACATCATTAAGCATCTTTCATTCATTCATTCTTTCTTTCTTTCTTTCTTTCTTTCTTTCTTTCAGCTTATTTCAAACTGCTTCTTTTCGTCTCTACTTCTTCATTCTCTTTTCTCTATCTTTCCTAACTTTATTCTACCTCTCTTTCCTTTACTTTTCCTTTTTCGTTCTTTCTTTCTTTCTTACTACTTATTTCGAACTTCTTATTTCTTTTCGTCTCTAATTCTCCATTCTCTTTTCTCTCTCTTTTCTAAGTGTTTTACTTTCTTTCATCTCGCTTCCTTTAACTGTCTTTCTTTCTTTATTTCTTTCTTTCTTTTTCTTTCTTTCTTTCTTTTTTGCTGCTTATTTCGAACTGTTTCTTTTTTCTTTTCGTCTCTACTTCTCCATTCTTCTTTCTCTCCCTTTTTTAAAATTATTTCTTTCTTTACGTTCCTTTCTTTCTTTCCTTCTTTCTTTTTTGCCGCTTATTTCGAACTGTTTCTTTTTTTCTTTTCGTCTCTACTTCTCCATTCTTCTCTCTCTCTCTTTCCTAACATTTTTTCTTTATTTACGTTCCTTTCTTTCTTTCTTTCTTTCTTTCTTTCTTTCTTTATTTCTTCTTTATTTTTGCTGCTTTCTCGAACGTCTTTTTTTTCTTTTTTTTCCCTTTCTACTTGTCCATTCCCTTTTAACTCTTTTCTTAATTTCTTTTCCTCTTTTATCTTTCTTTCTTTCTGTCTATCTCTCTGTATTTCTTTTTCGTCTCTACTTCTTCAACATTCTCTTCTCTCTCTCTTTCTTAGCTAGCTAGCTTTCTTTCTTTCTTTTTGGTTAATTTAATTACCCCCTTTCTGTCTCTAAAATGACTGCCTGTTTTATCCCTCTCATTTCGCTTCCTTCTTTTTCTCAATGTGGGCGGCTTCTCTGTTTGTATTCACGCCCCCATTTCTCGTCTTGACAGAATGTATTCCCTTTGCTAATTCACTTCAGCTGACCCCGCGCATGTCCGTGCGTGTGTGTATGTGTTTTTGGACGCCAACATATACATGAAAAAATGCGCCCTCCCACTGTTTTATGTGCGTCTTCGACAACAAATCACCCACATTATGAAATTACAAATAATCCAATAAGCCAATGAAATTGCTAATGCTATAACAATAAATTTTCAAACCAAACGCGAGACGCTATTCTGATCTCGTGAAGAAGAGGAGACATTTTTTTTTTTAAAGATGTCTTCCATGCAACACCTCCGCTTTCCTGGAGAATTCTGCGAAGAGGAATGTTCGCTTCCATCTGCGTGTGTGTATATATGTGTATGTAGCTGTATGTGCTCGTTTCTGTCCGTGAGTGCTATCAACTGTTGCTTCGCTCGCAAAATAGCGAAATCCTTCTGAATACAAAAAGATAGTTTTATTTTTAAATAACTAAAAAATAAACAATTTAAAAAGTGCTTTCCTGTCACTTTCAACAAATCAGTACTGTACTATATATATATATATATATATATATTTAAGCGTTTCACCCCAAGCAAGGCGAGAAGCCACTAGGACGCAAGGGGTTACAGAAAATTTGGAACAAGAGCAGATAGGAGTGATAGAGGAAAGGATGAGGAGAAGGATCGTGGATAGATCAAGACAACTGGAGATGTCGATTGACATTACATTTGAATAGTTGGAGATTATAGCTCTCAGGGAAACTGGAATAGGGAAGGGAGTTCCACAGGCGAGAGGTGCGAAACATGAAGCTATTGGAGTAGAAGAGACGGCTACATTTAGGAGTTTCGACAGTGAAAGGGTGAGAGTGGGATGCCAGCCTCGTCGGGCGCTTGAACTCATGAAGTCTGGGAACCAGCGAATGCAGCTCCTCGGAGCAATTGCCATGAAAGTATTTGTAAAACAGATAGAGAGAGGCGACGGCGCGTCTGTGAGAAAGTGACTGTAGACGAGATGCCAGATCAGGGCCAATTATATTGCATATCCGCCTCTGGAGCCTATCAAGAACCCCGAGGCAAACAGAAGGGGCTCAAGACCATATATGGCAGCAATACTCCATGCAAGGGCCAATTGTTGATTTGTAGATCTGGAGGATCGATTCCGGGGAGAAAAATTTCCTGGCGCGGCACAGGGAGCCAACTTTCCTTGCGGTGGACGAAGCAATTGACTCAATGTATTTGTTCCATCTCAGGTGAGCAGACAACGTGAGACCGAGCAGCCGCAGAGAGTTGGTCTTGAGAAGTTGAGCGTCAGACATTCTAATGGAGGACAGGGTAGGATATCTGTGGTGATTAATAGAGAGCAGTTTTGTTTTTGAAGCATTAAAGATGACCAGCCAATTCTTGTCCCAGTTCACAACCGATTGGAGGTCCTTTTCGAGACGCTCGGCCAGGTTAGTTTTGTCAGTGACACTAGTTTTGTGCTTGAGGCAGGAATAAATTGTGGTGTCATCCGCGTAGATGCCAACTTGATAATTTATGGCGTCAGGA